ACATATAAAAAATCTTAATTAACTATATGACCTGTACTAAGTTTGTAATTAGGCTAATATGAAACATACTAGAATATATGCAGTACGATTAATAACATGACGCAAGGGGCATTTGTCATACTTCTAATCGTAGATGCAACCAATAGAGACTGCATAAAGTACAAAATTAGTTAGTATGGTGCTGGACATTGAATCGATGAATTTCGGGGCATTCAATGTTCGAACACCGGATATCCTAATGCCTGAATGCTCATTAAAATAATCTCTATTTGATGCGTCCTTTCTGATAATTCCGGTTGCAACCTCCCGTGTAACGCAGAGTTTTTTATTAAAAGCAAAAAATAAAAAAAGCTTGTAACTCGAAACTCGCATAACTTATTGATAAAAATAGGATGAGGAGTAGCATGCTTTGGATGCTGTTCCAGATTGAACCAAACCCAAGTTGGAGTGGGTCTAAAAATATGTTTAGAAATTTGGAGTATCAAGAGTAGAATCTGGAGCAAATTAGAACTAAATGAATATTAGATCAACCAAATCTAACTGATTAATGACCATATATATGTACTTAAAGTAAGATAGAAACTGCAAGCATAATGGTTGCAACAAAATATAAGAAATAAATAATCAATTTTAACCAATCCGTAGTCATTATGTAGAAAATCATATGTGATAGTGAAAGTAAGGAATACGGTAATCTTGACGGCATCAAGCAGATATTATGTAAGGGCTGCCACCAAACATTTAAAAATTAAAAATTCAATAAAATCGAACACGCCAAGACACATTCTAAACTAGTTACGTGCCATACTACCGTAAATCGCTGTATACAAGACCCCATGATAATAGACTCACCATGTAGTGAACTCGGGTGTGAATCATGGGATCTATATTAATCAAATCTGAGTTTTTCAAATATCTAGACCTATTATAAGTGCAAAATGTACATACTCTTCAAAGTTTTTATCTTAATGATACGATCTCAGCTGTACACAGGACCCAGGATCTATTATAGGTTTTAAAATTGGTGGAATGTGAGAGACCCGGGTCTTGTATACGGCAATTTACGGTAATTGTTGATGCTGAAATCGTATGATGATGAAATTTGGGGTCTTTAGTTGAAACATAAACCTATTAAACTTTACATATGCTCTTTTATTATAAACTCTAATCCTAAACTATAACCAAACCCTAAAAAAACCACCCCCAAAAGTTTTAAAATTTCATGTTAAAATATGATCGAATTTCAGTATCAATCATCGACATTAATCATCTCAAAATGCAGCTAAGCAAGCCAATATTAGTAATCTGAAAAAAAAAAAAGGTAGGATTTAAATGAAAGAATTTTTTTAGAATTTATAGATTTTAGGGGAAGTTAGTGCTACTTGTTTCAATCATTTTGTGCTATTAAGTGGCAAATTGGCAATTAAAAATTAATGATAAAATTTTCTCACGATAAAAATTAA